TGTGTGTGTGTGTGTATGTATGTGTGTGTATGTATGTATGTATGTATGTATATATATATATATATATAGGTTGATTTTTACTTTTGATTCTTTTTTATTACAGATAACTTTTTAAATTTGTATTCTGCTCTGGGTTCTTTTATGATGTTAATGGTGGAGGTCTTTGTTGTCATATTAAGAACTATGTCATCAAGTCATCCATCTTTTGCCTGTTTTGATAATTCCATTGGAGAATAACTGCAGATCATGTTTTAGCCAATACTGTTGACAGTTTTTGGAATGGTGCATTGTGCAAATCTAGGTGCTCCAGTTTGGAACCATTGCTTTATGGCTTATTATTGTTTGTGAAGCCACCATAATTGCTATTTGAAAAACCAGCCCATAACAGCTCATTAGGATATATGAATGAATCACTCTTCTAATTTTCTTAGCAGAAAAAGCTCTTGGGAGTTATTATGTATGTGTATCTCTATGTCATTGCTCTGAAAATTATATTCCTTACAACAGGGTTGTCAAACATAACATTCAGTGGGGTTTCATTTGCCCTTCGAAGATTGCTACCGGTATTTCATTTGTTTTGCTATCTTTATAAAGGAAAAGGACTGAGAATCTTAGGATTCATTAATACGTCACGCCAAACTATGGTTTCTTGAACTGCGATTTGTTATATAGGCCTTAATTAAGTGAATTTATACAAACCACAGTGGCTGGATTCAGAGAAATCAGCTAAGTAAAAAAGCAGCCTAATCACCTTACAGTATAATGAAAGGCATAAACAAATCTCATTAGTGACTAATATTGAGCAGCCCCCAACTTATGTAGCGCTAGGGACCAATTTCATGGAAGACAAGTTTTCCTTGTGGACAACCTAGATCCCTTGCATGCACAGTTGAGAGTTGGGTTCACTGTGCAGCCCAGCCTAGGGATTGGAATGGGGACCCCTGTAATATTGCATGCAGCATCATCAACATACAAAATCCAATACCCTATCAATTTAGGCAATCCTAAGCAACTTTGCTTAGAAATAATTATGTTTCTGAGCACAGAATGGAACACTTATTTAGGCTGAGGAACTGTACTGACCCTGTAAGATTTTCCTAATTCTTGTAAGAATCATCAACAGGAAATATTGCCTGTTATTGGGCAATATGAAGATAGACTATACATATGTAGGTACATCCATCTCTCCCCCTCTATCAGTTGTTATCAAGACTGCTGTTTTCCTGTTGCTGATGGCAGCAAGGAGACCAGTTTGTTGCCTTCCAACTAAGTGTTATCAGTTGAATGATGGAGGAAACTGGATAAGTTCTTAGACTTGATATCCTATGGAGGATATCTTTGTGCAACGTTCTAATTCATGATTTAAATGAACCATGGTTTACTATATCCAATTGCCTGGGTTTGACAACGCAGATGAATCCAAGGCATTGGATTTAGTAAGACATGCATTTAGAACTGGTGGCAAAGGGGGTGATTTATGCTGCCCGTTTTCATAATTCATATAGTGCTAAGCAGTATTAGCATCTTTTGAATGTCTCCCCGGCCTTTATTCTTCAAATCTTTTATAGATGTGCAAATCATTGATTTGTACCGTTGGAAATGTTCATGCTTTAAGTGTATTCCTGATGTCTGGGATAGGCCTTGTAAGATTCTGATGGGCTTCAGATGAGTACATTGAGTCTCTAGAGAAACTCTAAACAAGTAAACAAAGTTTTGGTCCTGACCCTTACAGTGACTTCATTGTAACATTCCAAAAACCTTCTGTCCCTTGGATGAGATGCCACACAAAGACTACCTCTGACAGTATATTTTAAAGTATTTCATACAGAGATACAGAGATATAAAGATATAGATAGGATTATCTATAATCACAATAATGCTTATTGCAATCCTGAAGTTAGGTCAGT